CATAAACATTATATAAATAAATTTAAATTAATCATGTATCTTAAAATTGTTAATATAATAAAATTTAACTTATATCTTAAAACATAACATATTAGAATAAATAGCACAAATCAGAATCAAAATAATTTCAAAAATATTCCAAAAAATATATAAAAATCATAACTTGAATTTCTTCAAAAATTTTATAATTAGTAATTATAGTTAAAATTAATAAAAATAAAGCTAAAACTAAACTATATAAAAATAATAATATAAAACTTAACACTTTAAATTTAAATATATTTCCTATTAAATTTTATCATAAAATTTCAATTTTATATAAAATGTAATATAATTATTCCGTACAAAAGTTTTTATATAATTAACAGATCTACATATTATAATCCTTATTCCCAATCTTAATTTTTGTTTATTAAACAATATATATAAAAATAATAGATAAAGATATAGAAAATAATACTAAAATATTCAGATTTTTTAAGAAAAACGAAGATTTATAAATAATTTTATATTTTAATTTTTATTTTTAAAGTAAAATAAAAATTTATTTTCAATATAAGTATATATAAAATTAATTATAATTAAATAATTTATTTTTAATATAAATATATTATTATACATTAAAATATTTATTACATTAAAATTTATTTTATAAAAATAAAATTTTTAAAATTCCTCAATAAAAAAATTAAAAATAATAACAAATTCAAAAATAAATATAAAAATTAATTTAAAAATAAAAAATATATTTAAATACAAAAAAATATAAAAAAATAAAAAAAAATTATTAAAGAAACAAAAAAATTCATAAATTAAATAATTGTCATTAAATAAAATATTATTTTAAATAAAAATATTAAAATAAATATTAATTTATTAAATAAAATAAACTAAAAATATTATAATATAAATAATATAAATATATTTTCATAAAATAGGATAAATTTTTATAATATGAAATGTGAAACTTAATAATAATTCAAAAACTAAGACTAAAAAGATTTAAAACTTTTAATCTTAATATTCTAGATAATATTTATTTATTACAGTTAAATATACTTAATATATAAAAACATATTAAAAAAAATTTCGGTATTATATTTACTTTGATTTGATATCATTTACATATTATCTTATTATATTAAAAAAATTAAATTAAATTCTTTATTATCATTAATTTTTTTTAACTTATAAAAATGTTTTAAAAATGAAATACTAATTATATTCATTGTTAATAAGATAGTATTAAATATTTAGATTATATTAGAAAAATATTTAAAAAAAAAAGTAAATTTGAATTATAAGTTATAATCTCTTAAAAAAATTGCAATAAATAACAATATATATATGAAATAAAAATAAAAAGAACATCATAAATAAAATTAAAAATAAAAGAAAGAATAATTATTAATTTTTAAATATAAAAAAATAAATAAATATTGATTATTTGTTTTAGCATAAAAAATATAATATAATAAATATCAATTATATATTAATTTTTATTAAAAATTTAATATTAAATATTATTCCAATATTAAAAAATAATAAGAATTAATTATAATTAATATCAATTATTATTATTATTATATTATTATTATTATTATTATTATTATTATTAATTATTTTCATTTATTTTTATTTTTTTTATTTTTTTTAATATATATTTTCACATTAAACATTTTTTTCATTAATTTTTTTTTATATATATAATTAATTTTTTTTGTTATTAATTAACTCATTATAATTGCTTTTTCTACTATAACCATTATTTTTTTATACTTTTTTTTTATTTCTATCATTTAAAATTAAATACGCGTTGACAATTTATTTTTTTACTATCTATTACTTTCTCGTTTTATCTCCTTAAATTTTATATTTATTAAATATGTCAAGTGTTAGAATTTAAGAATATTTTTTTTTACTAATCTATCGTTGACAATCTTCTTATTCACCTTATCTAAAACCTTCTGTTGTCATACTCTTAAATTTTACATGCATCTAATATGCTCAGTGTGATAATTTAAGATGATTTTTTGTTCACTGGTCTTACGTTGACAACCTACTTATTCACTTCTTCTAGCCCCTTCTGATGCCATCTTCTTAATTTTTATCACTATCTAATGTGTTCACTGTGATAATTTAAGAAGATTTTTTTTCACTGTTATGAAGTTGAAAATTTTCTTATTCACTACATCTAGCGCCTTCAAGTGTAGAATAATAATAATAATATAATTAATTTAATAAATATTATTTTAAGAAAAATGATTATTTTAAAAATATTTTTAAAAAATATATAATATCATTAATAATAAAAATTATATAAAAAATAATAATATCAATTATTATTATATTATTAAGTTTATTATGATAAAAAATAATAATTAATAATTTTAAATTATATTTAAATTAATAAAAAAATAAATTTTTAAGTATATTCAACACTTTTTAATAATATATTTATTTTATAATTTTTTATATAAAAGTAAAATTATATATATATTATATTATTTATCAGCCTTTATACCATATATATGTGTTATTTGTTAATTTTAATCTATTAATAATATTATTATATAATTGAATTTATTTTTAAGAAATAACAGGTAATAAGCATTAAATTGTATCAATTTTTTTATATCTAAATAAATTTTACATTTTTAACATTTTTTTTAATCATTAAATATTGTTTATCCATTTTTGTATAGCAGAGTCACTAATGAATGTAATTTTATTATTGTTAATATTATACAAATATGTATAGTTGTTTATTTTAACTTTAAAGCTAAATTATTAATAATTAGGAATATAAATATTTTTATTATAATTATATTAAAAGTTAAAATAAGAGATCTTAAGATACTCGTTATATACACGTTATTAAGTTTAGTAACTATATTTATAGCTATTGTTTTAAAATACTCTATTCTACTGTTCGTTTAAAAATCTAGTATAATTTTAATTTTATAATAATATTTAAAGAAGAGACGATACAATATATTAATTAATTTATTTTCATTTCTTAAATTGAATTATTTTTTATTCTTTTTCTAATTTTTTTTTTTTTTTTCATAAACTTTCCTTCTATTTCTTACTTAAACTCAAAGTCTTAAATAATCAATTGATTGAAAATTAGCTTATTTAATGAAATATATTTATTTTAAAAAGTAATTCGTAAATGTATAAAAGTTAAACAATTAATTATTACGACTTTTTTCTTCTAAATAAATGGTAAATTAAATATATTATTATTTTAAGTTTAACACCAAATATAACTAGAATATAAATCCTATTAAAATACTTGAAATATATTATTTTAATAAAAATAATTATTATACCGTAATTTATATATAAATATGTTTTTTTAATTGAGGAAATATTAAATTAAATATATTACTACACTGCATTTATATATTGTATTTAAAGATTTGTTTAGAAAATCTAATAAATTTTATCATAATTATATTAAATATGTATTTTAATAATAGATAGAACCAAAAATTAACCATTTTATATCATTAATATCTTAATTAAAGAACTTAATAAAATATTTTATTTATATATTTATTGTTTTTTATTTATATATTTAAATTAAATGTTTTATTCATAATAAATATTTATTATTTGGCTTAAAATAATATAAAAGATAATTAGCTTATTATTGAATTTAAATACATATGAAATTATTATTGTTTGATTTTTTATATATATTATTATATTAAGAGTATTATTAGAAATAGCTTCTAATATAAATAAAACTTATTTAAAATAATTTAGAATCTTTATTTTTAATCAAAACGTTTTTAAATTTTAATGACTAACTAATTGTAATTAATCTATACATTGAAGGAAATCCTACCTTTGTTTAAAACATTTTATTTGCTTATCGTTTCTATTTTATTTAAAACAGTCTCTTATTTCTAATGATTAATTTTTGCATATATTGCCAAGAACTATATTTTATATACATGTTCTTTTGTCTTATATATCTTACTAAGAAAAACAATGCTTTATTTGTTTTATTTTTTAAATGAGAATAATTATAATAATGTTAATTTTTTATTTATTTTTTTATTACACCTAACTTTAATACTAATTAGCGTGTTTTTCTATTATTTAACAAATAATATGCTTATTCTTCGTTTATTTAAATACAAGAATCTATTAATTTTGAAAAATATTCAAGTTATTGCTGATCCATTTTATTATTTTTATTTGATTATATGATATTAATATTTATTTTCAAATATATTATTTAATGATAAGATATTCAAAAAAATAAAATAAAAAAAATATTCTTTTTATTAAATAAAGTTTGGAATATTATAAAGAATCAATTATTTAGATTATTTTTTATTTATTTTTAAAATTTTTTTTTTAATTAAAAAAATAAATATGAATCTTGCAATAAATATCAAAAAAAAAAAAAAAAAAATGAAATTTCTTTATTTAAAAATAAATAGAAATTATTCTAAACCCTTTCTATTTAATTTTTTTTTTTAAACATAAAGTTAATAATAAATAATATTAGAAATAAAAAATAATTCATATATATTTTTTTATATAAAATAAGATATATTAATATATATGTATTAATTATATAAGGATATGAAAAATTTTATTATAATAATTATTCATTTTAAATATTGTAATCCTTAATTAAATTTTATTTATCAGCGATATGAGTAGCCAGTTTTTCATAAAATAATCAATCCCAGTTAAGGGATATGGCCATCTCCATCATCATTGAAAATTTATAGGTAAGGATTACCTACTGATGTTAAAAGTTTTTTTTGAAAAGCAAAACCTATATTTCTTTATATAATATTTTCAATTTTTAACAATTATGGGTTCCTTAAAAAAAAAAAAAAAAAATAATTTTAACCTAAAAAAATAAATAATTAATTTATTTTTATTTAATTTAATTTAATAAAAAAAATTATTTATAAATATATATATATATATTTATATATTAAATAAAAAAGCGTTTCCTTTTTTTACAAATGCCACCAAAAAATAAAAAAGAATTAGAATTAGAAGCATAACGTTTATTAGAAGAATAATAAAAGCGCGAAGAAGAAGAACGCCTATAAAAAGAAGAAGATAGAAAAAAATATGGAATAAGGTAATTAGAAACAGGACTATAATGTATTTTTACAGATTATTACATCAAAGAATGTTCATAAACATGTGAAGATATTCGAAAATTCACTAGAGAATATTTAGAAAATCATTATTTTAATGAAATTGGTATAAATTAGAATTTCCGAGAAATAGATTGGAAAAGTCTAATTGAATTTAACTTATATAATTTATTATTTGCAAAGCATACAGTAAATATGAGTGATTAATAGGCTAAAATATTCATTAATATTATGTTTTAAGTATATATATAAGATGATTTGAAATTCGAAAAAGTTTAAATAGATGAAAATTTAGAAGAAAAAGAAAAAGAAGTGTTTTTAGAAGATGTTTTAAGAAAAAAAATAACATAAAAAATAAGGAAAAAGATTTCATATTTTTCAAAAAATTACTCCAAATGCATTCTTAAGGGGAAAACTCGAAATTTTTTGATTTAAAATTATTAAAAGAAATTGTATTATATGCAAATAATAGTTATTTTGCACATTTTAATCTAATTGATTTTATTAAAAGAAATAAACAATAAGTTAAAGATTCATTTCAAATTGTCTATATTGATTTTCCTTAAGATATTCAATCGCTTGAATAGGCGAATGAAATTCCTGCATTAAAAAATTTAGACGAAGATTAGGAAAATTTTAGTCGCTTGGATGATAATAAAATTATTGATGCAAATAATAATAGATAGGAAATAGAGGAAGATGAAGAGCCTCTTGATGAAGTTGCTTTATAAATTATTAATTAGAAAATTTAAGAGACTGAGGCGCTTTTACTAAAGTAATTGGAAGATAGATAAAATGAATTAAATGAGAAATTATAAGAACTTGATAAACCTAAAAAATCTGGGAAAAAATGAAATATTTTTATTTATTTTATTACTATTTTTTATTATTATTATAAATTATTTTTAAAAATAATTATTTTTTATATATTTTTTTGTTAATAAAAAAAATTATATATATATAAAAAATAATAGAAAATATAAATAGTTTATTTATAAATATTTAAAATAAGTATTTTATAAGAAAAAATATTTTCACATAAAAAATTATTTTAAAAAGTTTATAATATTATATATTCATATATTTATATATTTTATTTTTCAAAAAAATTAATAAATCTAATATAATTAAATTATTTTTTCAATAAATATAAAATTATAAGGAGACAAATAAAATAATAATTAAATTGAGAGTATAATTTACTTTTATTATAATATAAGAAATATACAAAATAATATTAAAAAATTTAAAATGAATAATTTGATTTAAATTAAGAATTGTTTATTGGATAAATAAATGACAAATAAAAAAAATTAGAAATAAATTTGATAAAAAGTTTATAATATATTTATGTAATTTTTATTTATAGGATTTTATATATATTATAAATAAATAAATATATAAAAATATAATAAATAAAAATAATAGAAGCTATTAATTTTAAAAGAAAAGATTATAAAATTAAAAATCATATAAATAATGAATAAATTTTAATTTAATAATTTTAAGTTTAAAGTTTAAAGAAAAAAATGTTTTTTTAAAATAAACTGTTAAAATATGAATAAAATTAAAAATATACATTATAAATAAAATTAAAAAAAATGATAAAAAAAAAATTATATTAAAATATATACTGTTGTTAAATATATATCAGAGAAAAAAATTAAGTTAGTAAATGAAAAAATTTATATATTTTATATTTAATTAAATAAATAAATAAATAAAAAAAAAAAAATATGTATTGATTTTTTTAAATTAAAATAATATATTTAATTTAAATAATATAATATTTTTCAAAAAAAAAATCTAAATTTTATTTTAAAATAAATTTATATAAAAAATATATGAAATTAAATCCATATGTTTAAATAATAATAAAAAAAAATTAATTAAAATTAAAAAAAAAAATGTAATATTAATTATTATTATGAATATAAAAAGATATTAAAAAAAAAAATAGAAAAATAATAAAGAAATTAAAATTTATAATATAAAATATAATATAAAAAGAATATATTATATAATATATAATATATAATATATAATATATAATATTTAATATATATTTTTTTTTATTTTATATTGATTTTTTATTTTTAATTTATAGAAAATTAATATATATTATAATATTATTATTTTCATTATTTAAATCTTTTTTATTAAATTATAAAAATTCAACATATTTTATATTCTTTTTTTCCTACATAAGCTCCACAAGAAGGACATGTATGTATTTTATCTTAACAATCATCAACACAAAATGGAATACAGCAACAACCTACTGTAAGACATAATATTATACAACAAATCCATGTATGGTCTCCTACTTATGCGTTTGTTATAGTAGTTACTTAATTATTACATCCTGGGCACACTATTAAAGCTGGGTATCCTACGTTGTCTGCTGTTCTTGGTAATTACTATTTTTTATATAATTTTTTTTTTTTTTTTTTTTAATACAATATTTGGATTTGCTACAAGATTTATTGGCATTCCTTATTATATTTACATTCCTTAATTTTATGGCATTACTTGCGCTACTGGCATTCCTTATACTATTGGTAATCCTTAAGGTGGTTGCATATTTTAATTTTGCATCCCTAAATTTTGGGGCATTTAATAAGCACCTTGTTAATTTTATTAATAATTAGTTGGATATTGTTAATTTGGTTGTTGTTATTAAAATGCAGGATAGTATTAGGGTTATTATTATTACATATTTTTATTTAATTTAGTTTTTTTCTTTTTTTTAATATATTTTTTTAAAATTTTTATTTATATATTTTTTATTTAATAATTTTCCTTTATATAATATAAAATTAAATTCAATTTTTGATTATATTTGCAATTTCTTTTTATATATTAATTTTTGGTAGTAATTTATGGTTTAACTATTAATCAATATAATAATTAAATAAAATTATATACGTTTTATTAACCATAATCTTTTTTTATAATATATTTTAAAGTTTTTTTTTATTTATACATATTATTATAAATAAAATTTTGAATATTGTATTTTATTAGTTTAAAAAATATATATATTAACAAAAAATAGAAAAATATTATTATAATAATTAATTGTCTATAAAATAGAAAAATTTTAATTTCCCTTATAAAGGAAAAGAATTTTATATTAAATATATAAAATAAATTAATTATAAAACAAAAATATAAATTATCAAAATAATAATAGTATTAGCAATAAAATATTAAATTTCATTTTATATGTTTTTGAATTTTTTTATATAGTTATTGAAAATCAAATGGTTTCTATATAATTTCGTTAGCACCAGATTTAAAGGCTTATTCGAAAACTTCTTATCCTTCCTAAGTAGTTGTAATAATAATAATAGATTTTTTACATTAGTTTTTTTCTTCAAAATCTCTTATTAGTTTAGTACTTTCGAAACCGTTCATTTCCGGCATTTAATCATCCATAAAAATAAGTTCAAATAAATTTTATTAATATAATTAAAAACCCTATTATCCATCATTTGCACATAAAACGTTTCCTTCAAATTATTAAAATATTTTCCTAAGTAAAATTTAATTAAAAATATTATCATCAATAATTAAAACTTTTTAAAATTTTTTAGACATAAGTTATTGTTCAATTTTTTAATTATCTTTTCTTAAAAATATATAGTATTTGATCTATTATAATACGCGCTTTTTACGCTATTTTTTCTTAAATTATTCATAGATAAGTTAGTTTTTAACTAGTGTAATTATATTGAATGTGAAATACTTTCTATTTAAATCTCATCTTATTATAAGTTTTCTTCGTTTTTTTAATATTCTAAATTTTGGAATAAATAAAAAGAAAATTCAGTACCAGTTTATCCATCTGAATTTAACTAAATATTTATTTAAGGTCCTAATTAATGTATTAATTTTTAACTTAATGAAAGACCAAGTCCTGCACCTTTATATTATAATTTAAAAAAAAAATATTTATATATTAATTTTTTTACTTAGTTTATTATTTTCAGTTCTATATTCTTAAAAAATTTAATTTTATAAGTTTTATGGAATACCACATCCATTATCTTTAATTTAAAAGAAAAGCAGATTATTTTTAAAAACAGAAATCGTAAGATTAATTATCCCATTTTTTTATGTAAATTTAATCGAATTAGAAATCATATTTATTAAAATCTACTTAATTCTAATTTAATCAGAATATAAAATAATATTTTGAGGTATTATAATTTAAAAATCAATATTTTTTTCTTCTAAAGAAATCAAAAAAATGTTTTTTAAATCAAAAATTAAAGCATTAAGTTCAAAAAAGGCCAAAACTAGATTAAATTTATTTTATTTTATTTATTAAGAATCCATAATATTATTTAAAATGTTCATTAAAAATATTGAATTTGTATATATATTTTTCAACAGGTTTTTTCGGAAAAATTACATGCAATTTTTCGATGCTTCGTAAATAAAATTTAATGGAGTTCGTATATCTTGGACTACTTTTTCAAATGTTTTTTCGATTTATATTTGGGTGTTATTGATTCTTTAGTTTACTATTCCTGTGCTTATATCATTCAGACATAATAGAATTGAACGCTTTTTTTTAAAGAAGATTTATGTGATCTTTATATCCAAATATTTTTAGCTTCTATCATCAAAGCATTCCGTAAATTAAAAAGTTAGTGGATCTATTTAATATAATTGTAGATTTTCAGAAATTTCTAAAGGTGAATTTAGAAGCTTTAGAATAATTGTGTGGAGGTTAGAAACTTATTTAGGCATTTAGATGGTTTTTAAGGATGATATTACGTCAGTTTCTTTATGATTTTGGATATATTTTTTACTAATAAATAATATTTGGAGATTTTCGTCGTTTATCGGAGTATTTATTTCTTCTTTAAAAGTTGATGAAACTTTTGATTGTTAGAGTTTATTTTTGCATTAATTTATTTTTTTATTTTGGAATTCTTTGGAAATAATTAATTCATCTGAAAGAGAATATTCTTAAATAACTTTCTTAAAATCTTAAAGCTTTTAATTTTTGATATAACTTTTGTGAAATAAAATTTTATCATTTTTTTCAATTACAAAAGAGAGTATTATTATAAAAAATAATTGAAAAAAATAGGAAATTTAAAAAAACCAATTAAAATCATTCACAAAATAACACATATATACTGTCAAAGGAGTTATAATTTTAATTGCTCTAAAATAATAGGAGTAAAATAAAGGAATTTGAAATATTTAGTATATATAAAACCAATACTAATATATTTAATTATTTTATTCTGATAAGTTTCTAATAATTAGGACAAAAATAATATCGTATATAGTAGTTTAGATAAACATTATTTACTAATAATTATTATTTTTGAGAAAAAATAATATTATTGAGGTTAATATTTAGATTAAGAATAGTAGTATTAGAAACCAAAAGTGAAAATTAAAATAAAATATTACTGTTAATATAGAAGATATTTAGTAAAGTAATATAAATACTATCAATAATTTGTTTTGTTCGTATTTTAATATTTTATAAGACGTATCTTAGGCAAGTATTTTAAATTATATGTTTATTTTTCCTTTAAATATGTTTTTACTTTAAAAAAATATTTCTCTTGTCCGAAAATAAATTTCATAATAAAATTTACTCATACTATAATTTTGTTTCATAATTATATTTTTTGTTATTTATTTTTTCAGATTTTTTTAATATTTTTTTGATGATTTTTTTGTTAATTTTATTATGAAAATTTAATATAAAAAATTATATCATGTAAAATTATTTAAAAAATAAACAGATATTATTAAAAAATAAAAAAATTTATTTATGATGATTAAATTAAAGCAAATATTAAAATATTAAATTTAAATTATAAAGAAACAATATTTTTTAAAGAATTGAATAATTTTTATTATAATTCAAATAAAATCTATAATTCATCAATGTATTTTTTTGCATAATTTAATTACTTATTTAATTAAACATCTATAATATATATTTTCTATATATTATAAATTTTAATACGATAAATATGCTTTCTTTTTTAAAAACAATTAAAATATATTAATATTTTTTGTATATTATTAACTAATATAGATATGGAAAGGTAATTTATTTTTTATTTAAATTTTTAAATTCTTGAGATAAAATTTTTGCATTAAAATAAAATGTATTCTTTACTATATTTCTATTTTAATAAAATTAAATAAATTAATAAAATTAACTCATTATATTAAATGTAAAATAGAAATTTATAGAAATTTTTAGATAATTTAAAAATAAATAATTTAAATTAAGTATAGACAAATAGTAAAAATATTAAAATTTAAATTTAAATAATAAAACAAAGTTAATATTTTTATTTAAATAAAATTTCTTTTATTAATAAATATATAAAAAAAGAAAAAAATATTAATTTATTAAAAAAAAAAAATTAATTAATTTATATATAAAAAATAAATATATTAATTTATTAAAATAAAAAAAAATTGAAAAAAATGATTATAAAAAAAGATTAATAATAATATTTAAAAAATAATAAAAATAAATATTTTATGTATTTAATTAAATTTATATAAAAATATATAGTAACAATAAAAAAATATAAAAATATTAAACAAATAAAAAATATAAAATTATTTCATTTTAAAATAAGTTAAATATCTTATAAATATTTTTAAGCTATATTTCTTTATTCTTCTTTTTCAAAAGCATTTTATTCATCTGCCTATTTATCCACTAGAACAATAATTTTTTCTAGAAAATCAAACATATTTTACACCATTAAATCTTTTTCTTTACTAAACTTTACCCAAACCCCATTCAACTACGTATAATCAAACAATCCTTTAACCAGAAAATGCCTCGTGTTTTTTTCCGGTACAATAATATCCTTTTAGTCTCCAATAACATAAACTGAAGTTGCCTATTAAGTCACTGGTTTAATATTTTCTGAAAGTTTAGAAATATTATTTGGAATCGGTTTTAATGTAAATTTAATTTATTCAAAAAAAGATTAAAAATAATGGAAGCAATCAACTTTAATTTCTTATTTGCAATTAAATCTTGATTAATTTTCTATTTTTCTTTCTAAAAGAAGATGGTGTGCATAAAACTACCAAAACGAGAATTTTTACAATAACAAAAATACCTACAAGCATCGATTTCTGAATTAAATTTAAATTCTAAATATACCCATAATTCTAATTAAAATTAAGCCTATCAACTTCGAATTAAGAAATGAAATTTTTAGGTAAATAACTACCTTCAGAAAAATACAAAACAAGGAAATCGATTAATTATTATGGAATATTTTAAACATTTTATAATAAACATTAACCACTAATTATGTTAAGGCTATTATTCGTTCCATTCTTTAATTAAGTACAGATTCTTTGATTTTATCTTTTGTTAAAATATCTAAGTCTTCTTTGGGTTTAGCAATTATTATTTAGAAGGCTTTTTCGCAACTTTTTAATAACCATTAAACTGCTAAAGGAAGAACTTATTTAAAATTTTAAATTACATTATCATTTAAAGCGGATTTTTTGGAGAATTCTTTCTTTCTTTTGGGAAGGAGAATACAGAAATATGCGAAGTGGAATTTCATACATTTTTTTAGTTTTTTTAAGGCTATTTTTCTTACTTCTTGTTTACGTTTCTCTTCTTGAATTTTGTTTGCACCTTCGGCTTTATCTTTATCTTTATCTTTTTTTTCTTCCTCTTCCTCTTCTTCTTCTTCTTCTTATTCTTCTTATTATTCTTATTCTTCTGAGTCTACTGAATCATAACTATCTGAAGAATCAGAGTCTGAATTATTTTTATTATTTGGGCTGTTTTGATTATTAGGAAGTTGCCCTCCTTTTAAAATTAATAATTATTTAATTGCTTCTTCTAATGATTATTCATTTTATCGAACTTTTTTTATTTCTAAAGGGTTTATTATTGTTTATATTTATTATTACTATTATTATTGTTATTATTATTGAAGAAACTAAGTAAAGAAAAACATTAAAAATTATTATTAAGTCTATTATGTTTTGCTTTGATAACTTTAAAATGCTTATATATGTTATTCTTTTTGGAGTTCTAATTATTATTTAAATTCAGAAGTTAGTTAATCTATAGAATTTTCGAAAGTGGCTTTTAGTTAAATTAGTTAGTCTGGTTTGTATTTTTGAGAGGAAGATTTTTCGTTTTTTTATTGAAGTTTTTTGAAATTTTCTATTTCAATTTGCATTTAAATATTTTTTATTTTTTCTTTTTCGAGTTTTTTTTGCATTTTTTTTAGGCTTTTTTCTTATTATTATTCTTTTTCTAAAATTTATTTTTATATTATTTATTAATATTCCATGTTTTAATTATTTATATATTAGTTATCATAAAATTATTTGCTTTTATAATTATTTATATTATTGTTCGGAAGCGTAGGTATTCTATATGGAGGTGGATATAATTGGTTTTCTGATAAATTCCATCTATTTTAGGGAACTTGGCTATTATTTTCTTATATATTATTATTTTTATATTGATTAATGTTCAAATATTATCCTAAATTTTCTTATTAATGATTTTATGGCGGAAAAAATTAATAATTTTCGTCTCTGTTTTGTGGAAATTCTCTTTAATTTTCTTAATACTACGGAGTTTAAATTTAAGAATTATTTACAGAATAATGTTAGTTTTATTGATTTTATTACTAATTTAGTTAAGAAGATGAATATACTTTATTATTAATAATATTATTTTAATTAACTTTAAGGTTTAATTTATTTGCTTTATCTAAATTATTTAAATTTTATTATTTCTATTAAATTTCTTATGTTTTTTGTTAAATATTCTGATTATATTGATGCAACTTTTAATTAAAAATCTCTTATTTTTATTATTTATTTTGGTAATTATCATTCCAAAAAAGGCTATCCAGACCAGCATTTTAAAAAACATTATATTATTATGACATTTTTAATAATATTTTTTTTTTGAAAAAAAAAAAAAATAATTATTATTTTTAATTAAAAATAACTATAAAAATAAAAAAATAATTAAATAAAAGATTTTTTATATGAAAATCTGTTTTTAAACATCAAGAAATCAATAAATAATACAACTGTTTTTTAAACTTTTTATTTAAAAAATAAATAACTAAGCTCATATTTTATTCAAAATTGCAATTATTTCACAAACGATCGTCCTTTAATAAAAAAAGACTCAAAAAACTTTCAAATAAAATATCGTGTTTTAAACCCTAAAAGATAAAATAATCATAATACAAATAAAAAAAATAACATTTGTATGAAAATAAGATAATCTAAAATAAAATAAATTAATTATATATTTTTAAATAATAAAATTGAAATAAAAAATGTCTTTCTATATTTTAACCTTACATTAAATAATAATAAAGCCGTATTTTAAAAAAATAAATTATTCTGAAGAGAATAATATTTACGTAAAAAAAAATTTTTTTTTTTAAAAATGCATTTTTTTATCTAAAAATATAAAAATTACAAGAAAAACATTCAAAAGAATCTAAAGAAAATTTTGACAAAAAAAATTATTTTTAAACAATCTTATTAGTTTAGTTAATAAAATCATAAAAATTTGTAAAAAATATTAAAAAAAAATAAATAAATATTTTTATTTTTTAAATTAAATTTTAATTAAATTAAATAAAAAAAGAACAAAATTAATTTTTATGAAATAATCTAAATATAATATGATATAATAATAACTTTATAAAAATGTATTAAAAATATAATAAATATAAATATAAATAAAAAATAAATAAAAAAAATGTTTTATATTTAAAAAATAAAATTTTACATCAAAGAAAATATATTTTATTTACGCTTTAATAGAATAGCGATATTAATGCTTTAAACATTAAAAATTAAAAATAAAAAAAAAAATTTTATATAAAAAAAATAATTATAAATAAATTATTTATTAAATATAAATATATAAATATATAAATATATAAATATATAAATATATTATATATATTTATATTATTATTATTTTTATTTATTTTTAAAAAATATTTATTTATATTAAATTAATTATAGTTTATTATTTATTACAAATATTTATTATCATATTTTTATTAATTATATATTTTTAGTATTATTTTTTTTATTAATTATTTTATCATAAATATATATTTTATTAAATTTCTTTAAATTTATTTATTTATTAAATAAAAAAAAAATATGTTTTTTTTTATTTAATTATTAACAAATAAAATATTATTAATATATTTATATTATATTTATTATTTTTATGAATTTTTAAACTAATATTATAGTTTTTAACTTAATCAATCTGATATACAAATTTATTTTTTTTATTTTTAATTATTTAATATTTTCCATTTTTAGTTTTTTCTTAAAACTTATTTTTCAATATAAATTTTTTTTTGTTTTTTAAGAATTTTTTACTTAATAAAAATATTTTTATAGAATGAAATGTAAAATAACATAAACAAATTATTAAATCTTTAAATATAAAAAAAATATTTAAAGTATAAAAAAAAACTCAACAAAATGTTTTTATATTAATAAAGTATATTATTTAAATTTGAAGAATTTTTCGTATTTTAGATGTAAAATAAAAAAAATCCGAAAGTTTATAAAAATATGTTTAAATAATGATTGATATTTAAAAAATTATTTTATAAGGCTTAATTGAATAATTTTTTTTATTTTTTCACCTATCATTACGGAATTTATATATTCAGCCCTTCTTTTAATTTGATTATTTATTAATTTGGCAATGATCTTTCTAAAAATATTTGGTTTTCGAATAATACGAAACAGGCCTATTAAAAATAATTATTTTATATTTTCTTAACTTTGAATACTCTTTTTCTCTATTTAACTTCTAAAGCAAAAATGAAAACTTATTTATGGATATAATTCTTATTTTATAATAATTATTATTAGTAATTCCTTCATTGTAATTAAATATTTTATATTCAATTCTTTGAAAATATAAGTTAAAAAATAGAATTATTTTAAATATGATGAAGACGCTTAATATTATATCAATAATTTTGAATAATATAAAAAAGTAAAATAATTATAAATGTATTGAAAAAAATTAAACTATATACATATTAAATATTAAATATTTATATATAAAAATATATATAATAATTAATATTAAAGAAATTAAAATTTATAAATATTATTTAATAAATATATATAAATATTTATGTAATATTAATATATATTTTTTATTAAAATAATATTTTTTTATATAAATATAAAATAATTTTAAAAAAATATATATGATAAATATATTTCAATATAATTTTTTCTCTTCAATAGTATCCCATAGGAGGAGGCATCATCATTTAACCATTAGGTTATCCATATCCTTTAGGAATAAATTCTGAAGTAGTGAGTAGGTTATAAATACCTTTTTCAATACCAGTAAGAAGATCCATAATTTCTTTGTCATTAAATGCATTTTAATCATTAAGATTTTACATATAATCTTCATCTTCTAGTGAATATTATTCGAAAACAAGATCATTTATCATCATATTTAAAAGAATAGGAACTAATTATGAAGATTCCATAGTTTTAGGCATCATTTTAAGAATGGGCATGAAATAATCTTATTTCTCATTTAACATTTTTATCTAGAATCTGATAATTTCTTTAGTTTAATCAGCCGAAACATCTTTTTTTTTGGTAATTTTTCTTTAATTTTTTAACGGACGGAAGCTTACATCATAAAAATATGTTAACCTAACCCTCTTTCCATTAAACACATTTCTGATTTTTCCAAAATATCTTAACTAATACCTAATTTTATACAAATATCTTCCTAAGCTTTCATGAGTAAATTTTCTATATCATTCATTGATTCTTACATTAAACTCATGTATTTTTTTTATCTTAATGCATTATATTTCTTCTATCTATATATATTTTTATTTTATAAAAAACAAATTAAAATAAATAATTATATATATAAATACCAGTTCTATTTTAAAATGTTAATCTAGTAAATTCTTCTTCGGCAATATCAGCAGAATTTTCAACTATTTATTAATAAGTTTAAATAGAGATATATTTTTTAGTATCAGGAATATAAGTAACTTGGATTTTTGAAACAACCTCATTCAACTTATCTTAAGGAAAATCAAAAGTTTTATTAGATTACATAAGAAAATTTGCCTATAATTGCTAATCTCCTTTTTATTCCTATTAACCTTATTATTAAATATTTGATTCTTTTGATACATTAAAACCTCTCAAAAAAGCTTCTATCCATTAAGCAGTTTCGAATAACTTAGCTTATACTTTTTGGTTTTGGTCTAAAAGAGTATTCTATTTATCGTTTACTACCTTATTTAATTCTGGATAATTTATTTTTAAATCTTCGCCTTCATATATTGCATATTAGGAAAGGTTCTTAAGACCTTATTGATTAATTTTTTTATCTGTTACCTTTTAGATTTAGTCTTTTAAATCATAATCCTTTAATTCTTTTAGTGAACAGACGAAACTCTTTGATAAGTTATCTTTTAAAGCAAATACTTAACGAGCTAAAGCTTCAAAGGCCTTTGTAGTCTCGTTTTAGCTTTTTGTGATATTTTCCCAATTTATAGGTTAGTAAGTTTCGTCTATTTTCATATTTAATAAGAGTGATTCCAATTTTTCAACTTCTATGGTGGTAGTCATTATAATTTAAAAAAATTTAATTTGTTTAATTTTATTTAATAATTATTTTATTGTTTTTTATATTTAATATTTTTTATTTATTATTAATAAAAAAATATCTTTTATTAAATTCAGCTTTTTTTTGGTTTCAATATTATTTAATTGCTTTTTATACTATATATTATTTAAAATAGCTATTTTTTATAATGAGAAAATAATATTAATTTAATATTTTTTTTTAAAAAAAATTATATTATAAAAATATATAATTAATTAATAAGAAATATATTAAATATAAAAATTAAAAAAAATATATAATATAAGTGTATATATATATATATATTTATATATATATATAATATTTTATAAATTATTTAATATAATTTTTTTTTATTAAATAATTATAAACATATATTATTATATTTTAATTATATATTAATTTTTTTATTTATTAATTTAATATAATCTAATAACAATTACATATTTTTTTATTAAAAATAAAATTAATCTAATAATATACTATTATAATTAATAATGTTAAATTTATTTTTTTATAATTATTTTAATATTTTATATATATTTTTTAAATTTATATAAAACATATATATATATTTATTTTTTTATTTTTTTGCATTATGTTCTAAATGTATATAATTTTCATTACTGTTATATTTTTATTTAAATTTAAGTAGTAAAACTATCCTATTAATACTATTTTTTTTATATATTCATTCAAATTAAATAATAAATTATTATCATTTTTTATTTAATAATAATTAACAAAATTATATTTAATATTTTTATTAAAAAAATAAAATAAATAAATTTCCTAAAAAATATAAAATTAAAGTAAAAAATTATGGACAAATATTCTTATTTAAAATTAAAATCCTTAAAAAATCATTAATATATAGGTTTTGATGTTGACCATTGTTTAATCCGTTATCATATCAAATCAATTACTCGTGCATGCTATGAATCACTCATGAAAACATTAATAAACGAAAAAGGCTATCCCGAAACTTTGTTAAATTTAACCGAAAAAGAAATTGGAATAGGCTTAAATTATTCATTGATTGATATAAATAAAGGCACAATTTTATAAATAGGTAAAAATAAGACTATACTAAAAGGTTACAGAGGATTTAAATAAATTAACATAGAAGAAGAATATGGAAAAGATTATATCATAGAAGCCTTTGAACCTTTATTAATTAACAGAAATCCAGAATTTATGGTCTTGGCTACTTACTTTGAAAATTCTAAAGGTGTAATATTTGCCAAAATAGTAGATTTCAAAACAAAAGAAAAGGTCTTAAAAGAAAATGACTATAAAGATATAATTAATGACATAGATTTTGCTGTAAAATAAAATTATATGCATTATAATGAATAAAGAGTATATAAAATATAGTAATATGGTACTTTTTTTAAAAGTATATGTGATAATCCATAAGGATTAATTCATAAATAAGCCAAGTTTAGAAAAATACTAGAAAATTTAAAATAATAAAATAACAAATTCCTCTTTATTGTAACTAATTCTCATTTTGAATTTATTAATTTTACAATGTCTTATTCATATGGAGATGTATAATAATTATATATTTATTTTTAATTTTAAAATAAATAAAATATTAATATATTTATATAGGATTGGTAAAATTTATTTGATTTAATATTCGTAAAAGCTTAAAAACCGGCATTTTTTACAAATTAAAATAATACTATGTACGAATATGATGAATAAAATCCTTTATTAATAGGTAAAGAAGTCATAGATATAGAAAAAAGTGGAAAGAAAATATTCGTAGAAGGTAATTATTAGATTTTAGAAAATTATATTAATAGTAAATTTGGTTTTTCTATTGATAAAAAAATACTCTTTTTTGGTGACAATATACTCTCAGATTGTTATTATTCATAATAGTTAAGTTAATGGGATTCTATAGCTATTGTGGAAGAGTTATATGAAGAATTAAATGATAATGGTTAATTTTTTAATATTTTTTAATTTTAATTTTAATTTATATGTTATTTTATTATATTTTTTGTTTAGATTAAGAAAAATAAAAGCAAATAATGAAATTGTTAATTATAAAGACTATTGGGGAAACTTTATGGATAAAAATAATGAAAGTTTTAATAGTTTCTGGCTTAATGTGGCTAAATAAGATCTTTAAGGAGGTTTTATAAGACTAGTTGATAGTTAAGATGCACAAATTATATGGGAAAGTGTTTGAAATGTATTTTTAAATAATTCATATTTTTAATTTTTTTTTATTTAAATTTTTTTAATTTCGTAAATATAAAATTAAAAAATAAAAAAATATGTAATTTTATAATTTTGCCTTAAAATTTAGTTAATTTTACATAAAGTTATTATTATCTTTAAATCAAATTAAATATTAAATTGTTTTATTAGAATATATATATTTGTTAAATCAAAAAAAATTAAATTGTTTTATTAGAATATATATATTTGTTTATATCAAAAAAATATAATATATATAATATATATATATATATATATATCATTTATTTTATTAATATTATTTATTCTAATATTATTTTTTAAACAAATATTTAAAAATTAAAATCGATAAAAATATAAAAATGAACGTATAGAAAGAATAAATAAAAGAAGAAACAAATGTAAAAAATAATAAAAAATTATAAAAAAATTTAATATATATACATATTTATTGATGTATAATGAAAATTACCTTTTAATAGAATACATTATAAAATATTTTTAAATAAAAAAAGTCATAAATATGCCATTTAAAATAATATTGTGATAAAAAGAGGACATTTATTACAAAATATATAAATTTAAAGAATTAGAAATAAAAAATATAATAAAACACAATAAATGATTTTCATAAAATAATAAAATAATTTTAAATAATTAATAGTTAATAATAAAAAATGTACATTATAAAAATTAATATTTATAAATATTAAAATAAATAATTAATTACAGACAAATAAAAGAAATAATAGAAAGTGAAATATAATTATTAAATATACAAATAACTAGTTTGTAAACAGAAAACGAATTAGAATTAGAAAAGATAATATAAACTATATTTAATCCTTAATAAAAGCAATTAAATGATATTTAAATATATTCAAATTAATTATTAAATTCATTAAAAGAAATAGAAGAAGTAATAAAAAAAATTATAAATTTATATAAATATATATACAATATAAAAGAATAAAAATAATCCAAATATATATAATTTAATAAATAATTATTAAAAATGTTTCACAGATTATAAATATTGTTTTGAAATATAATTAAATTAACAATTAAAAAAAGTAAGCGAAAACATAATTAATTTTCTTTTTGAAAAAACATTGAATCATTTTCTAGTATAAAATAAATTTCAGTTAAACAACTAATTGAAATAGAAAAAAATGAAAGAAATTTAAAATATATTTATACTGATTATATAAAAAATCTATAAACTATAAATACTAACATTAAATAAACATATTTAAAAATAAACAAAAAAATATAAATAAAAATAAAAAAAAGAGTTATATAGAAGATATATCTGAACAAATTACTTATAAAAATGAAGAAAAAGAACTCAATAATAAATTAACATAATCAGAAATAAACTTTTTAGAATAAATAAATTCTGAATCAATTATATACTAATAAAATTAAAATAGTGTTCTTTATAATACTTTTGATCTTAATAATTTTCAAAACGAAGATATATAATCTAAAATATATTTTTATTGAGAAATTTCTCATAGAAAAAAAATAATAAAAATTCATATTAAATATATATGAATAAATTTTTCAAAAAAAAAAAAACAAAAAAAACAAAAAATTATAAAACCAAAATAAATGTTCAAAAAAATATTCCAAAAGCAATTAATTTAATTTACCCATATACCTAAATAGAACATATTTTTCAAAAGATCCTGCTATTAAAATCTTAATATATCCCCAGATGCTACTCTTGAGGAAATAGAAGAAGCTTATACCACACAAAAATAGAAAATAGAACAATCTAATCAATAATCTTTTTATAGTAAACTTGAATCCTATAAATTACAAAAGAACTACGAATAAGCATTGAAAAACTATCATTAAAAACATAATCCTTAAATGGGATTTATAAAAAGAATTATGTTCACTGCCAGTTTCGGTTAAACTCCTACAAATGAACAAAAAAATTGGGGATTTCAGCTTTTTGCAGGAGGTATAATAGCAACTATTAGTTTAAGTGCATTTGCTGCTAGCTAGTTAAAAGATAAATCTAAATTAGGTAATAATTAAGGCCCTCATATTATTCTGACAACAAAAGATTTAAATGAAGCAAAAATAAACTATTAAGAATATAAAGAAAATTTAGAATAAATGCAATAATAATAAAAAGATATATAATAATAATAATAATTTAATAAATAATAATAATAACAATAACCAAAATCTAAATCTGAATAAGAATATGAAGAATATATGAATAAAAATAAATCATTTGCTGGAAAAGATGAATGAGTTAATATTTTTTTTTAAATAAATTAATAAATAAAAAGCAATATATATATAAAATATATATATATATATATTTATTTATATATAGATATATATATATATATTTATTTATTTATATATATATATTAAAAAAATTTATAATAAAAATAAATAAAATAAAATTTTTTAAAGAAAAAAAATTCAATCCATCTTCAAATCAGGCAATAAAGGTTTTGACTTTAAAGAAACCTTATAATAATCTCCATAATTAGAAGTAAACATAATACTCATAATACCAATACATAGTGTTTACAAGAAAAAAATGTAATAGTGATAAATTTGTGTTAAACATAAGGTTCAATAAACTAAGAAATAAACAAGACAATAGGAAAACTCAAAAAATAAATACTTCCGAAAAATCCAAATTATTTAATAAAAGGTTACGCTTACATTCTAGCTGATGAATAAGTATCTTTAAGACCATAAAAGAAATAAAAAACAATCCAAATCTTAATAACACAATAACCCATCCTACCCATCCATCAAAATGATGAAATTTATGTGATGAATCATCATTAATTCTACTTAAACCAACAATAATCATATGAATAATTCCAATAAGAAACTATTTTAAAATAAAAATAAATATATAAATATATAAATATATAAATATATATATAAATATATAAATATATAAATATATAAATATATAAATATATAAATTAATCATAATACTGCTAATGGGACATATATATCTAAACTTTCTAATTCCATATAATTAATAGTCCATCCCCAAGAAATAAGTATAAAAATAATCGCCATTAAAAACTATGCTAAAATTCCTGAAATCTATCCCAATAATTATATCACGAATATTCCTTATCCATCATATGAATAGCATATTAAATGAACACTTTCTAAAAAAGATTTCCTGTTTGTAAAAAAAGAACTATATTATTTAAAAAAAACGCCCAATCCAACTCTTCTTCTTTATTGTATAATTTTATTGCTTTTTTTAAATTTATTGATAATAAAACAACACAAATAATCCAAAATATAATTATATAAAACAAAATCCCGTTTTCTTCGCTTGAAAATTAAGTGTCGTCTGCATTTATAATTTCTATCTCAATTATAATCTTTAAACCGGCAGGACTTAATTTTTCTAATTCTCTTTAACAGTCTTATAAATTAAAATACCAAAATCTTCTCTTTACTGTAGAAGTTAAAGTCTCAGAGATATATTCACTCCAAACATTTCCTTATGTTGGTAAATTTAATACACTATTAAATGACTTTAGCTATTTACTTTCACAAGTGTCATCTTTTTTTATAAGTTACCATTCTTTATCAATTATCATCGCTAAGTTTATTAAAAAATTTTCTTCTCCTGTTTTTAATAGAGGTTTGTTAAATTTAGCGCGAATTTTATAGGTTGCTGTACCTATATCAACTGCGAATTTGGTGATGTAAAAAAAATACTAGCTATTTCTAACTTTGTTGATTGGGATTTAAAGACTTACGTATTTTTAGTTTGTTGTTTTTAAAAATATTATTATAAAAATTGTTAATATGAATAATTTTGAATTCATTTTTATTTAAGTTTAAATATTTTTATTTTTCTCCTTTTACTTTTTTATATATTTTTTAGATTTTTTTCCTATTTAATTTAAATTTATTTTATTTCATATAGTTTATAAATATAAAAAATTAAATAATATTTATTATAAAATGTTATTGAAATTTCTAAAAATTAATTTTAAAATATTATTTATTTATAAAAATTTATGCATTAAACGTTATTATATTTAAATAGAATAAATGTATTTTATTTAAAATTAATAATAAATAATTAAAATAACTTACAAATATATTGTTTATTTTCTTGAAAAAAAAAAATTAATAAAAAATAAATTAAAAAATATTTAAAATAAAAATATAAACAGTATAATTTATATATTGTTAGTATCCAAAAATAAATATAATTATATTTTTATAAAATCAAAAGGCAAAGTGAAAATAATTAAAAAATTATTATTATATATATTATATAAAATAAATCCTATATTTATTAAAAAAATAAAAATAAATAAATAAAAATTTTTATCTCAGTATTAATTTGTTCAAATAATTTATTAATTATTTAATTCTTATTATATTTTTTGCAAATTTTTTTTTAATTGATCTATATAATCAATTTTATTGATTATAATATTCTTGAATTTTTCTACTAAAAACATATTTTTGTTCATATTTTTTCTTTTTTCATTTATATAAAGTTAAAAAGGTACTTTTTTAAAAAATATACTTTTTAATCCATTTTTTAAAATATATTTATTTACCTTAATCAAAAGTAGAATGACGAATTATACATTAATCTTATAATTTTTCAACTTTTAAAATATAATCTTTTTTTCATCAATATGAGGGTTTTAATACAAAGTGTTTTAGGTTGAAATTTCTTGCTTTTAATTTATTTCGACATTAGAATTATTACTCAAAATTAAAGTTTCTTATGTTTTCTCTTCGTTTTGAATTTTATCATTTAATTTAATTTTTTTTTAATAATTGCTTTTATATTATTTATATTTCTTTTTCATAGATTAGTCGTTTTCTTAAATTTGTAATACATCTTCTTCATTTTAAGCATTTTATTAATTCTATGTATATGTATATTTTAATATATGTTATTTGGAAAAAAAATTATTTATACTTTTTATTAAATTTCCATTGCTTATTAAAGAAACAAATCTAAAATACCCAATCCTTACTTTAAATATAATATAATTTATTTATATATATATATATATATATATAGAATCATACATAAGGATCTTCATTTTTTTATTTAGGAATTTTTATTTATATTCTTTTTTTAAAAATATTAATATTTAAGAAGATTATATATTTTTAAAAATATTAATACAAATAAATATATAATTACTTTATTTTTTTGTAATAATTTTAAATTGATTTCCATTGTCATCATTTAATTTAATTTTTTTATAAACACTATTAACTTTTATATTCTTTATTAATAATAATAATAAAATTTCTTTTTTAAATTTTTATTCAATTTTACTTTATTTTTTTGCGTTTATTTTTTTTATCTTAAAAAAAAAAAAAAACAAATAAGTTTAATATATAAAAAAATATATATATAAATAAATAATATATATTTTAATAAATATTAAAAAAAAAATTAATAAAATAATTAATAATAATTATATTTTTAATAATATATATATTACTTTATTATGTTAAAACACTGCCTTTTCTAATCGGTTAAAAATTTGGAATCTATATAATATTTTCTTCTGTTTCCATAGTTTATTATTATTACAAAGAAATTTCATTCTCAGATTTAGCCTTTGCTTTTTTTTCTTAGCTTTAGTATTTATTAATCCCTTAATTAATAATAATGTTTATTTAAATAAATTTCTTATTTTATATATAATTACTTCTCTCATATCAAACATTTCCTATTTGTAAAATTGATTAGGAGCTTTTCTTCTGCCACTTTTTCTCTTTTAATTGTCAACTATGATTAAATTTTATTTTTTATTTTTTATTAAAAAAATTACAAATTATAAAATAGTTAAGTTATTTTTTATATAAATCAAATATATTTTATATTATTTTTATATATTAAGTATTAAAAATATATAATTTACAAGTTATATGTATTTATTTTTTACTTAGTTCTTGTTTGCATTAGTTCTCTTGCATTTTTTTTTATATTTTTTTTTTTATTTTAATTTTTATTTAATTAATATTGTTTTGATTTTTTATTTATTTTTTTTGGCAACTAAAATATGATAAAAAAAATTATTTGTTTAAATTTTTTTTTTAAATATTAATTATAAATAAAAAGAAAAAAAATTATGCTAAAATATAAAAAACATTAAATAATTTTAATTAATCAAATTTATGAATTCTAAAAGTTTTAATCAAATTAAAATTTAAAAAAACACAACAAAAAATAAATTTAAAAAGTTTAACTAAAAATATTAATAAAGTATTCAGGTTAAATAATATTATAAAATATATATATTAATTATTAAATTTTATAAAAATTAAAAATATATTAATTTACAAATAAATATATTTTATAATTATTCAAAATTTAATCATATTACATTATTATATAAATTATTTAAAAATAATAGATTTAATTAATATCTTTAAGAAAAAATAAATAAATAATTAAAAATCATTCGAGAAAAAAAAAAAATATAAATAAACTAAACAATATATAAAATGTAGTGATTCAAAAAAAAAAAAAATATAATTATAATTATTCTAAAAAACGTAAAAAAATAAAAAAATTATTTTCAAAGAAAAAAATAAAATATCTTTTGTAAAAGTATTTTAAAAAGAAAAATAAAAAAATAATATAATAATATTAATAATGATATAAAAATATTTAAAATTTTAAGCTAATTGTAAAAATAAAATTAAAAAAAGATTTATACAAATAATAAATAATAAAAAAATAAATATTATAAATATAATTATATATATAATATATATATATATATATTTAATATTTATTTTTTTATTTATATAAATATTTATATAAATATATATATTAAATATAAAATTATTTTTTTAATTTATTTATTAATATAAACTTTTTTTTTTATCATATAATTTTATTTTTATTTTTTATTATATTTTAATATTTTTAATCTTTTCTTATTAAAAAAAATAATATTATTTAATATACTAAATGTTTTTTTTCTTTAAATTTATATTTATTTTTTTAAATTACTTTAATTTTTTTTTTATTTTTTCATTATTTAATATATACTATCATAAAATATTTTTTTAATTTATATAATTATTTTTTTTAACGATGTTTTAAATATTTTATATAGTATTTTTAATTTGATATATATTTTTTTTCATATAATTTTTTATTATATATTTCTTTAATAGTATAATTTAATATTTATTATTTTTATATTAACTTTTTTTTTATAATTTATTTTATTTTTTGATTAATTTAAAAATGATTATCTATTTTTTTCTATATTAATATATTATCTGAGATGCTAAAAGTTTTCATAATTTGGTTTTATTGTTCTTTGTTTTTTTAGGCTTTCTTTATTTAAAAATTCTGAATAAACTAATTTTTTTATTTAATTTAATTTTTACAATACAATTTGTAAACATAACTTTTTTACTAAAAATTTTTTTATGTCTACTAACACAAATTACATTTTTTATTTAATTTTACACTTAATATTTATTTTTTAACAATAACTACTACACAAACTCCTTATTTACCTTATATATATATTAATAATTCGTTAAATTCTTCTCTAATAATATTATCGTGCAAATTATGCATATACATACTTATAAATTAATTTTTATATCCGTTTTTACCAAATTTTAACTTCAAAAGCTTCTATTCAATATTTGTTCTTATTTTTTCTCTTAAAGTAAAATACTTAATATCTTATTGAGTTCCAACTTAACATATACATCTGTCTATTTATGTTTATAGTTTTCTAAAGTCTATACATTTGAAAAAAGCGTGAAATATATAATATTGTTTGTATGTCAATCTAATTCAATGTAAAAATTTATTTCAAATATTTTTGATTTCATCTTTTTGATAAAATTTAAAAAGAAATTTTAACATATTTCAATTTACAAACCTTATCATGAGCAAAAAAAATATCTTCATAAATAAATGAATTTATACTTTAGAAATTTAAATTAAAAAATATATTAATATTAGAATACACAATACCCTTCCCCTCCCCTCCCCTCCCCTCCCCTCCCCTCCCCTATAACTTATAAATTATGTATAATAAGCGCTAAAACATTTAATTATATAATATATTAAATATTTTTTTTTTCAAAAATAAAGTATAAAAAATATGATTAAAACCTTTATTAATTTAAATTTCTGAAAAATTTATTTAATTAATTTAAGGAAAAGTTTTAAAATAAAAATGAAACAAAATTAAATCAAATTTTCGTTTAATTTCTTAAATTGAAAATAAATGACTTTTCCACATATTCTTTTGCTTTTGCTTTTTTTCAGCATAAAAATCCCAAAAGACTCGAATTATAAATATAAACACACATAATATTAAATAAAGTACAAAAAAATAAAAAATATTCATAAATCATTTAACTTAGACGTCTTATTTTTAATTGTAAGTCTTTAATAATATGCTCAAACAAATTGACAGCAAACATATTTTTTTTGAAAATGCTAAATGGTTTTAAATTTTAAGTTTGATTTATAAACATTTAATTGTAAAAATAATTAATTAATATAAAAATATTAGAATTTTTTTAAATATTAAGTGATTGCTTTAATTTCAGATTTAGTAATATTTAGAAAAGAAGTAGAAATAAGAATAACTTATCTAATAAAATATAATATAATATAAACTGCATTTGTATTTTTTTTTTAAAAAAAAAATCACTTAAAATAATATTTATTTGCTTAAATAATTTAAAATACTATTTAATAAAAAATTAAGTCTAATGCATTTAATTAAATAAAAATTTTGTTACTACTTAAATTTTTGATTATAATCTCTAATTTTTTTGACCTAAAAATATTCCTAATTTTCACTTTATTAAATAGTATGTAAAATAAATGCATTACATGCTTAAATCCTTTCTTTTTATAAATTAAAACATTCTAAAATCTCAAATTTTTTATTAAATCACTCAAACACTTTTAATTTGAAATAAACTTTAAAAAAATATACAAAAAGAATGCCTGAAATATATTTTTTTAAAAAATTATAAAAATCTGAATCTGATAAATAATAATTATATATATGCTTTAATTACAAATAAATCTTCTTTTAAAAAGAAGAATTATTATCTAATAATAATATTAAATTAGATAATTTGTTATTTTTATTAAATTAAGCTTAAAAATTGCAAAATAAATATGAATATATTAAATAATTAATAATTTTTATATTATTTTTTGTATAGATTATATTTATATATTAAAATTGTAATAATAATTTTTTATATACATAAATTTTACATATTGTTTATTTTTAATATTTCTTTATTAATTTTTTTTTTTAAAAAAAAAATATTTAATTTTTATGCATTCGTTTTTTTTTTTTTTTTTGAATAAAATTATAATTTAAAACTTCAAACAAAGCAAGCAATACCAAAAATCACAAAAAGACTACCTTATATCAACTTCAAAACCCATCCAGGAATAATTTATCCTAAATATCTACCTCCAATAACAGCTAGAAGCGCACAAAAAGCCTATCCTAATAAAGACCCTCCAAAAACAATAATAGGAGAATAAGAGCTACTCATAGCAATTGTAGCAAGTTAAGATTTATCTCCCCATTCTCCACAAATAACTTAAATAAAAGTTTAAATAAAAATTTAATAATTTGTAACTTTTTAGTTTTTATTTTTAATTTTTTTATCGAATTTTTTTGTTTCTATTTCTATTTCTTCAGAATCATCAGATGAGTCTTTATCTGCATTTTTTTTAAGAAAGCATTTTATTCCGAAAAACAAAAAAAGTATTCCAGAGCAAATTCTAGTAATATATTAAGGAATTAAAAATACAAAAAAACCGCCTAAAAAGCAAGAAATAAAATTCATAATAATCATCGCTGCTAAATTTCCAAGAAAAACGTATTTTTGAGAATTTTTAGTTGCCAAAATAGCAGCTAAAATAAATGTTTTATCACCAATTTCGGAAAATAATATACCAAAAAAAGAACTTAAAAATGCTCCTTAAGTTTATAAAAATTCATTATTATTTTTTGCATAAGAAAGCGAAGGAAAAATTAAAATTATTAAAATTATGAACATATTTATATGTTTTTAAATATATTAAAATTTTTATTTGATTTTCTTATTACTTTTGTTTTATCATATTGTAATATATATATTTTATTTTACTTTTTATTAAAATGAAATATATTTAATGTAAATTTTATTTTTAAAAAATTAATAAATTAAATAATTATTTACCATTTTAAACAATCAAAGAAAGTATTTCTAAAACTAATGATATATGTTACTTTCACATCAACCGAAGTTTATTTTAGGTGAATTTCAATACTTTTATTAAAATTTAATATTATTCCTATAATTTACTGTTTCAAAATTATTATATTTATACATAAAAATCTTATTTTATTTATTTGAACGAAATAAAAAAAAAACATTAATATGTATATTTAATTATGATTCTTTCTGATTAAAATTTAAACTTTTTAGAACTTTATTTTAATTTTGAATATTTATTTAATTAATTATAATTTCCAAACATAAAATTTTAATGTATAAATTTAACATTATTTATTTATATTTTTAAAATTAAATTTAAATATATTTTATTACATCTTCTATATAATAATTTCCTTTTACATCCTGTTGTTATAAAATTATTAATATAATCTAAAGGAATTTTTATTTAAATATATATTTTATTCATGTTTCTTTTTTAAGTTTCGACTTATTTTTTTAATTATTATCTCATTCTTTATCTCGAATAAATTAAGAAAATTATTTTAATTTCTTTTTTTTTTCAATTTTTATTTCTTATTTTTTTTAGATTTTTTTAATTTAAATTCTCCCAGTTTTTATTCTACTTATTCTTTTTATTATATTAATTTTTCTTAAATTTATTATTAAGGTTTATATTTTATTAGTTTTCTTATATGTTTTTTCTACTGTATTATAAACATAAAAAATTTTAGAACTAAAATAAAGCTAAAGTTTACATTTTTGTTTACTAAATATATAAATATTATTTTTGTTTTTATTATAATTATATAATAAAATAATAATTAAATAATTTTATATAAATATTATTTTTTTATTTTAAACTAAAGTATTCTTTAAAAAAAAAGATCTAACTATAATTTATATTTATTATTTTTATTTCTTAACAAAAAAAATAAAAAAAATAAAATGCTTCATTTTTTTTCTCCTTTTTCTTTTAATTTATATTCAAAAAGGATATTTAATCTTTCCTCCTTCTAACCATTCATCAGCTAAAACAGTATTTTCTGTAAACCAATAAGCATAAGCAGTTCCTAAGAAAATCCATAAAGGAACTTAAGTTTTTAATACATGCCAACTTCTGCCTCCATCATAAGCTTATTTAGGAGCAAAAACATATTTAGGTCTATTATATATTTTAAAAATATTAATTAATTATTTTAAAAAATAAAAAATCCTATATATAATTATAATTATATTCAAAATATACACAAAATAAAATGGAACGCCTGTTGACATTCTCTTAAATATCAAACCATAAGGAATAACAAAAATTGGACCTGTAACAAGTAATCCAACGAAGAAATTCCTCCAAAAATGTAATCTGTTTTCGTTGAGTTTTTCTGCAAATTCCATTTTAATTGTTCTATGTGCTTCGTTCATATAATATTTATAAAAAGGTTATTTTAAAAAATTTTCTTCTGTTTTTCTTATTATTTCAAGTTCTTATTCTCTTGTTGGTGGTGGTGGTATTTTTTTTTCGTAACCCATATTTTTATTTTATTTTCTTCGCTAATTAATAATATGTATATATTTTTTTTGTATTATTATTTTATTTCTCTAAATATAATAAATAATATATATAAAATTAATATTTTTTTCTTAATTTAATATAAAGGAAATTAGTTTAATTTAAAAATAAAAAAAGATATAGAAAAAAATAAATACATAAAAATAAATAAAAATCATAAATTTTTTTTTAAATTTTCTAAAACAAAATCAAATTACTCACCAAACCCTTTATGAGAGATTTCTCTAATAGAATAAACATCAAAAGTAATTAATTTATATCCCAAATCTTTTAAAATTTCAGTTTTATTAATATTTTGTTTCCTTCTTCTAAACGCATACACAAAATGTGAATACCCATCAATTTCTAAAATAACATCTTATTTTTTACAAACATAATCTTTCTTAAAATCAAACTGCTAAGCTTCATTTTATATATCTCCTTTTTAAATTTTTTACACAATAAAATCTTTTTAACCTTCTAATTTTTATATTTTCTCCTCGAAATCTTTCACTACAAAATCCACAAGTATAAATCCTTCAAGTAGACATTCAAACTTAACATTAAATCCCATAGCAAGGAACCACTTGACTACATCAAAGTATTTATCAGTCTAAAGATTCCTAAAATTTTAATTATAATTATTAGTTTAAGCATTAATAGTGACTATTTTTTCTAAATTAGCTCTCTAAAATATCCTAAACTACTCTTCGTATAAATCTTAGTATTTTTTCCACAACTCATTTTATTTCACCTTCATAAAAAACATAATATATGTTACTTAATTTAGCATTCTTTCGTTCTAAAAAAAAATTAAATTCCTTCCTTAAAGCATTCCTAAAGCACTTAATGCGTAAAAACTTCTGAAAAAATCCCATATAGACTATAACTCCAAGAAATAAGTAATTTACCCTTTAAATTCAACGCCAAAAATTCTTTCTCATTTAAATTTTAAACTAAAAATTCAAATATATAATCTTTTTAAGAATGCACTGCGAAAGTTACTATTAAAGTCAATTTATTCGATACACTAAATTTGTTTATGTTTTCTTTTATAAAACTCCTTATTTAAGATTTATCATTTATGTAAAATCCACCCCTATTATTATAAAAAGCCTTTATACAGGTACAAAAATAGTCCTAATGAGCCCTTCTTTCACTTACTCGGATTAAAAAATCATCAAAAAGTTTCAAATAAAAATTATAATCACCCATTTAGCAAGATGAAAGGGCTCCAATGAATCCTTTTAGAGTAAAATCGTTCATTTATTGGTAATTTTCTTATATATAAGTAATTATTAAGCCCCATAATTATATTAAAGTTTCAGAGTTTTTCTTTTAAACTTCAGAAGTTTGGTAGTAAGATAAAGATATGGCTACATTTAAATATAATAAATCATTTTTATTCTTAATTAAACTCTTAAATAAGAATTATAAGAAATCTTTTTAATTGAAAATTTCATTAATGCGAGTTAGTATTATTTGACGATTTTCCTCTTTTTTTATTGACTTTTCCCTCCTCATAATTTGGATTAAATTTAACATTATTTTAGATATATTTAAAGGCTTATAAAACAAATAATTATTCTAAAAATTATGCAAAAAACTCATATAAAAATCAACATCTTATTAAGGATAATGATGTAAAATATAAGAAATAAATAAAATTTCATTTTAGTTTAAAATTTTATTCATTTTTAATTCCTATATACAATTTTAGACTATTTTTTTTACTAATTTTTTTATTCAAAGTTAAGAATATTTTCATTTTCTAAAAATTAATATACATTAAAGTATTTGATATTTTTATCACTTGCTTAATTAAATTTTTCGTAGTTTTATTCTATCCAAGTTAACAATTTTCCTAATTTTTATTGCTTTTAAATTTAAAGTTAGCTTACAAATGTTTTTTTTGGAATGCTTTCGATAAATTTTGTATATAGTTTTTTCATTTTTTATATTTTTAATTTTGTTCTCTTATTTTTTTATGTTTTTATTTAAATTTATAAAAATTTTTTTACATAAAAAAACTATTTTATTAATTATAAATTTTTTTTCAATTTTTTATTGTTATATTAATATATATATAAATATATAAATGTATATATATATATATATATCTTCTTTTCTATTTATTTTAAATATTCATCATTATCCATATTGCATATTCTAAGGCATATAATATTACATAAGCATTGCCATTTACTTGAATATTTTTTTAAAAAAATATTAATTAAAAATATCAATTTATATTTACCTATTAAGAAATATTCTATACAGGCATAGCCATCATAAGATCATTATATTTGTTATTTCTGCTAATGAATAAAAATAAAAAAATTATTTAATTAAAAAATAAAAATTTACTTATTATTATTGTTGTTATTCTAAACATTGTTATTGTGATTGTTATATCTTTTTTTGTTATTGTTATTATTATTATTAAATCTAAAAAAAAGAGAGTTAAATATATTAATAAATAAAGTTTTTGAAAAAAAAAAGAAAAAAAAATATAATTAAAAATACCTAGATTTTAATTCTTCTTCATTATGTGCATATCTGCATTTGTCGCCATTTAAACATTTGCCTAAATTTATATAAATAATATAACTTTGTATATATATATATAAAAAAAAGATAACCTTTACTGAAATTAAAGCATAAAGATGTTTTATAAAAATCATCAGTATGTCTTAATTCCCCAACTCCATGAGCATATTAGCAGGAATCTTAATTTGGGCAAAAGCCGTTTGTTTAATATGGTTAACATAATTTTGTTTTATTCAAATCAGGTTTTTACTTTAATTCACTTTCGCTATGTGCAAAATGGCATTTATCACCTTTAGTACATGTTCCATTCTTTTTTTTTTATAAAAAAATATTGATAGTTTTATTTTTGTTTATAACTTTCTTACCAAAAAATTTTGACAAAGTCTTGTTTTTTTCAAATTTACATAAGGTTTCATATTTTTATTATTGAATTTGTTTTAATTTTAGTTGTTTTTTTGGTTGAAATTATTGTAATTTTCTACGTAACCTGAGGAAGACATTTATTAATTTTTTTTTTTTTTTTTTTTTTTTTTTTTTCTAAAAAAATATTATTTTTTTTTTTTTTTTTTTTAATTTAATTAATAATATATTAAAAATATTATAATTATTTTATTATATATTTAGAGAGATATTTTTTCCGCTTTTTTTGTACGATAAAAAGTTATGGGCCGAAATTAAATTTCTTTGTTATTTTTATTATATATATTTCTTATATAAAAAATTATTCAATAATTTTTTATTAACACAATATTAATATTATATCAAACCACAATTTTATTTACAAATAAAAAATATTAAAAAAAATATTATTAATTATTGATATTACCTATTAAATTATTTATATGAATTAAAGCACAAATTTTTATTTTTTATAAAAATTAATAAACTTATAATAAATTTATGATTATTAAAAAATAAAACAAATATATTCTTCCTTAAATATTTTAAAATTTATTGACAAAAATTAAATATAAATATATGTTACGATTTAAAAATTATTATAAATATGAAAAATACTTCTTATTTTTTATTATTAATATTATTTATTAATTTTTTAAAAAATTATTATAGAATATTTATAAAATAAATCTTTATTTAAAATTAAATTATTTATTTTTAAAATTATAAAAATATTTTATAATTTTGTATATAAATACATTTTTTAAAAAAAATTAAATAAATAAAAAATAATAAAAAAAAACAAAAAAATATACCTTTTTAAAATTTTTAAAAAAATTCTGATAAATAATATATAATTTTCTTTTTTTTTCTAAAATTCAGTTTTTTTTCTTTCATTTTTTTTATAATCTCTTTTTTATTTTAATTCAATAAAATTTGTTTACATTTCATATTTAAATAATTCGTAAAAAAATTAAAAAAAGACGATTTAAACGCATGTAAAATTTTATTTTTTATAAAATTATTTGATATTAAAAATAAATAAATTATAAAATGTCTTTTTTTTGATATTCTTAATAATTAATATAATATATACCTAAAGCGAAACTCATTAAGAAGAAACTCTTTAAGAAGAACTATCTTTATTAATAACATATGGCCCATTTTTAGGTTCATTTTTAGCCACAATATTTTCTGAATTTGGAGACAAAACATTTATAATTGCGGCAATTTTAGCAATGAAATATAGCCGATATTGGGTATTTTTAGGAAGTTATGGTGCTATGTTTTTCATGACTTTTGTTTCTTGTTTTTTGGGTTAATTTATATTATATATATTGCCTGAATAATATATGAAATTCGGGGCTGCAATACTTTTTTTCATTTTCGGAGGAAAATCATTATATGATGTTTTAATTAAAAAACAAGAAGAAGATGATAATGAAGAAATAGAGAAAGAAATGGAAGAACTAAACTAAAAATTGACGTAAAAAACAAAAGATATAGAAGAAATTTAAACTTCTAACTAAAAAGTAAAAAATTAAGTTTTCGTAGTTGAAGGATATATAGTCGCTTCTTAAACTTTTCTTTAAATTTTTTTAGGGGAATGGGGAGATAAATCCTAAATTACTACAATTGCTATGAGTGCTTCTTATGATCCTATTAGAGTCTTCGTAGGTTCAGTAATTGCACATGCTTTATGTTCAGCAACAGCAGTAACTGGAGGTAGGTATATTTCTTCTTTTGTATCAGAAAAATTACTTACTATTTTTGGAGGAATTGTATTTATATTTTTTGGAATATTCACCTTATATAATTTATGATATTTTTCCTCTTTTTTAGAATATTTCTATTTTTAAAAAAAATATGTTTTTATTTTTATCTGAATAAAAAAACAACAAAATAATAAATTTAATTTTTTCCTTTTTTTTAATTGTTTGTTATTAAAAGAACTTAATGTATTATTTTATTGAATAAATAAAATATGTATGATATGTTTATTTATTAAATTAATATCTTTATATATATCAAATAAAAATATATAGTTTTAAATTTTAATTTTTTTATATATAATATATACTAAATTTAAAGTTTAATTATATTTTTTTATTACTTAATATAATTTTTTATTTTATATATATATAAAAAAACTACATAAAATATTTATTATGAAAAAAAAATTAATATGTATTTAAAATTATAGCAATAATAAACTCATTTCTTAGTTATATTTTTTTATAAAGCTACTTATTTTTAATTAATGTTTTTATAACCTGTTCCTATTTTCTAAACTTATCCTTTTTATAGGTTACTTTAAACATTAGAGTCCATATAATCTAACTTATCATGACTTTTAATAACATTTTATTTATAATTATTCATATTGTCTTCCTAAGGTTTAAAACTAATAACAGATTAAGGAGCAGTAAACTTAACAGTTCCATCTTATTAAACTTCTCTTTGAGCAGGTTTAATTCTAATATAAGGTAAGAAAGGTACTCTGTCAACTTATCCGGGTTTCGGCCTCGGTCTAACAAGAGCAGGATCAACAGATTTATTTTTATTAATAAATACTTCATGTTATATTTCTTAATGAGTAGATAATGGTTTATATTACTCTCTAATCTTTTTACCTGCCTTCTATCTTTCCATTTCAGTTTCATACAAAACTTCATGATCTTCCCATGCTCCATCACATGAAATACATCTAATTTTAAAAAAATATATATATATATATTAAAAAAAAAAACGCAAAATAGGCTCTAAAGCTTTAGCAATTAGTACATTTTGTACATCTCAAAGGATAATTAGGCATATGCTCTTCGTGGTTATGATTACATCTTTTAAAGATTAAAATATGTATATTTAAATATATAAATAATTAGTATTTTTTATTTTTTTAGATATAAAAAAACACTTGCAAGGAGCTCTCCATTTATGTACATTAAAATCTTTTCTACGAGGTAGCCAATACATCCCACATTCTTCTGGTCTTGTGGGTATAAATTTATATTATTTACAAGGGCAATCTTTACAGGAACTGTTAAATTTTTTACCAAAATATTAATTATTGTGTTAATTTAAAAAATGGCCACAAAAACATTTTGAAGTTGAGCCTATTCGACCACATTCACTTTTTTTTTATTCATTCCAATATGTTATCTATTTTTTATTTATTTTAGTTTTTTTTTTTTTTTACGTATTATAATGATTCTATTGCTTCCATTGCATGCATCATTTCTTAATCTATCATTTTTCGGGCACCTGGAGCGACGCCGAAACTTTATTTTTTATTTTTTATTTTTTATTTTATTTTTGTTTTATTTTATTTTTTAACTTTTTCACTCCTTCTAATACAGCGTTCTCGTCTAAAGCCATGTAATTCATTTATTTATTTTTTATTTATTAAATATAAAATTATATTATATTTTCTTTTAAATATAATTTTATTCACATATTTATTTTATGTATAATAATAAAATTAATAATATATATATTTTTTTTTAATCATTACTTTATTAATTAAGAATGAATATTAAGTCAATTTATTATATTACATAAAGTTTATAATAAATCTATTTATTTACAGTAAAATGATCACTTTCAATGCTTTAATAATAATAATTATGTATCAATTAATTATAATTTATATATTTAATTTAAAATTAAAATAAATATAATTAAATTTATTATATTTATTTTTAAAAATTTAAATAAGCAGTCTATTATTAAAATTTATTTGATAAATATTTTAATTTAAGAAACACTAATAAAAAAAAATGTTTATATTATAATTATTTTTAGGATTATAGTGATAATTCAGAATGAAAACTTTTGAAATAAAAAAAAAAAACATTAAAAAAATATATAGGAAAATTTATTAAAGGTAATATATATATTAATAAAACTAAATAATTTTATAAGAATAATATAAAGAATTTCAAATATATAAAAATAAAACTAAAATTAAACAATTTAATATATAATAATTATAATAAATAGATTATAATAATATAAATTTATTATAAAAATATTTATTATAGTAATTAAAATTTATTAATATAAATATTTAATAATATAATTATAAACTAATTATATATATATATATTTTTATATAAAAAAAAAAAAAATATTAAATAAAAATAAATTAATATAATTAAAAAATTAATATTTTTATATAAATATATTAAATATTATATAAAATTATATAATATAATTTTTTTTAAAAATTTTTAAATAATAATTATAATTGAAAATAAAAAAAATTATATAAAAATAAATATAAAATAATTATTATAGTTTTTATGAGTTAATAAAATATTTTATTAAATACAATTCTAAATACATTATTGTTTTATTAATATAATATAAAATTTAATTATAAAAATAAATAATTAAATATATATAATTAAAAAAAAGTAAAATATATTTTATATTATATTATATTATATTTATATTTATATTTATATTTATATTTATATTTATTTGAAATAATTATATTAATAAACTCACTTTTAAAAATTTATTGATAGAAAAAGATTATTTCCTTTTATCTCTTTTTAGGTAATTTTATTAAAATTTTTTTTTTTTAATACTAAAAAAATTTATTTTGAATTTTTTTTTTATTTTAAAAAAAATATTAATTTATCATTCATTTTAAATATTTTTTTTAGTTTAAAACTTTTATAATAAAATACTATAATATTTTGCAATAAATTTCCTTTTTTTATAATAATTAATTTTTTTTTTTTTTTTAAATTTTTACTACAAAATATGTTTTTTTAAATTTTATTATTTTCATTAATAGATTTTATGTATTTATTTATAAATAATTATAATCAATTTTTTTAAAAAATACAATATTATATTTAATTTAATAATTATTATATGATATGATTTTTTAGACTATCAGTAGAAAAAATTATATATATTATATGAAACTATAGTAAAAAGGATTTAATTTTATATATATTTTTAAAAAGTTATTCTAATATATTGATTTAAATAAAAATAATTTAAATATTTATTTATAAAAGTTATTTTTTAAAAAAATTAATATTTTTTTTTTTTTATTTATTAAAAAAATTAAGTATTTTATAATAAATATAAATATATTTTTAAATTAAGATATTATATTAAGCAATAATTAAATAAATTAATAAATTTTTAAAATCAATAATACAAATTGACATAAATTTAAATTAAAATAAAAGTAAATAAATAATTTATATATAAATTAATTATCTTAAAATTTAAAACTTATATTGATTATTATTTTTTATTAATAATTATGATATTATTATAAATAAATCTATCTTGAAAATCTTAAATAATAAACATTATTATTATTATATTTTTTATTTTTTTTATTTTTTTCATTATTAAAATTGTATTTTAAATTTTAAACTTTTAATATTAATTTTAAAAAATAAATTAATTAAATATATATTATTTTAAATTTAATTATTATTAAATTTAAATATAATTATGTTTTCAAATTATTACTTGAACTATATTTATTTTATAATTAATTTTATTTTTTTTAATGAAATATATTTAATAAAAATTACATATATAAATAATATATATTAAATTTTTATTAAAAAAAAAATATTATTTTTAATTATATTTAAATTAAGTGTATATATATTAATATAATATTTTTTTTATAAAATTCATGTATTTATATTATAATTTTAAATATTAAATAATTAGAAACTTATTAAAATTAATTTTTAAATATTTGCTAAATTAATTTAAGAATTTTTATTTTTAATATATTTTTTTTATGTATTTTAACTTTAACTACTATTTAAATAAATTAATTTTCTTTCATTTATAAATATTATTAAGAAATAAAATATATAAATTTATTTTAAAATTAACAATTTAATAATGTTTATTGATATAAATTATTTAATTAAAAGTTATTAATTTTAAAAATAATTATATATAACTTTAACTTTTATTTATACTATTTTATTGTTTCATTTTTTTAGATTAAATTTCTTGATTTCTTTTTAAATAATAAAATAAACTAAGCATAAATTTACATATTCATATTCATGAAATTATTGAAATTATTAATACAAAAATACATTAATTTTATTTATCAAAAACTTTTAAGATTTTTATTTATTTATTGTTATTAATATAAATCTTTTTTCATTTATTTTTTTATAATTATAAATATATTTTGATATAAATAGATATTAATTATATTATTTTAATTTTAACTACAATAAAATATTCATAGATTCTATTAATATAAAATTATTTTAACTTAACCAATATTAATAAATAAGTTATCTTTTATAAATATTTTTTTTTATAGTATATTTTACAAATGAAAATTAAGAATATTTAAATGTTTTATTAATTAAAATTTTATTTATAATGTATTTAAATATATAATTTATTATATTTATTTTAATATATCTTGAAATATTTATACTTCATACTTTTTATGATTGTATTTATGTTTCTCTTAAATTATGCAATTTTTCATATAACCAATTATACCACTATTTTATTTTAATAAAAATAATTTATTATTTTAATTATAAATTACTTGGTTAAATGGTATATGCTCTTATAAAACTTATTTAAAATAACAATTAGTTTCGTATGTTATGATATCATCAATATATGGTGAGTTAAGCTTTACAGATTAAGAGGTTAAATTAAAAAAATCCTTTAAAATATAAAAAAAAAATTATTAAAAAACAAATATATGAATCTCTACTTAATAAGGATCTCTTTAAATATTAGCTTTTAATGTTTTTTTATTCGAATTAGTTTTCTTTGTATTTATTGTAATAGATTATTGTTTTTATTCAGAAGAAAAAGTAAGAAAATTAGACACATTTTCATGCATATCTTCTTTTTTAACATGATCTTTTAATTCCGTATACAAATTATTTATACGAGAATCTAAATATATTTCCATAACTTCATTTTATATTTAATTCTTTAAATTATCTAAAATAAAATAAAATAAAATAAAATAAAATAAAGATTAACTTAATAATATATTATAAATTTAAATTTTTTACTTGATTTATATTATTATTCATATTCTTCTTACTGTTATTATTCTTATTCTTTAAAAAGAATCTCTTTTGATTTAGGAGTTAAATTTTCTGGAGTGTTAGCTATTTCAATAATATTTTTTTAAGAAGAATTTTTAATAAAATTATATGACTTTTTATTTTAATTTTAGTTCAAATAAGTTTTTAATTCATCGTTTTCATACTAAAGAGTTTAAATATGATCTTAAAGTTAACAAATTTATAAATTTAAGTTTTTAATTTTATTTTAGCTATTATTGTACAAATTAACTTAATCTTTTTTTAACAAAAAATAAATAAAATAAAATACATATATTAAAATTTTACTTTAATTTTCATATTATAATTTTTTTATAGTTTATTCGTTATTTTAAATTATCTATTAATGATTTATTAATTCGTTTTTAATCTAAAGTAACTCTTATTTATATATATTTTACTTATTTGTTATTTCTTCAATTTATGTTTAATAATTTTCTTTTATTTAAGATATTTTATCTATATCTGTTTATTACTTATTTTTTTCAAAATTAAAAAAAATGAATAAAAAATAAAATAAAATTTAAAATAAAATATATATAAAATACATTATTTTAATATTATTCTAATTCAAATATTTTTTTATCATTTTATTCCTAAAGTAATTAATAATCGTTTTCAAGATTTACAATAATTTATTGCATATTAATTAATTTTTGATTATTATCTTAGTTTTATTTCTATTAATATTAATATTTTTTTAATAGTTAAAATGCTTTATATATATTGTAAACCTGCATATCTTAAATTACTTATTTCTAATATTATATTTCTTATTCTAAATTTAAAATAATTTAATTCAAATTATTTATATCAATTTCATGTTTTTAATATATTTCTTCGATTTTCTGAATTTAAAAATCTATTTTTATTTTTATTTTTTTATTTTATTTATGTATATAGATTACAGGTTAATCTAACTAAAATTTTCATTTATTCTTCGTTTTCATTTATAAAATGTATTAATTATAATATTTCTTCATGCATATTTTCACATGTTTCACCTTAATTCACTCTTCTTTCTATAAAAGGAAGAACTAATTAGTCTTATATTCTTTCTAAATATTCAATAATAAAAGAATCATCATAAATATTTTGATTCATTTTTTTTTTAAATAATAATTTCTATTTATTTTATAAAAACTATTTAACATCTAAATTTTAAATATTTTTTTTTACAAAACAAATCAAATATTTTATTTAAATATTTTTAATTTTACAATAATAATTAATTTAAAGAAAAAAATTAAAATAAATAAATGTATTAAGAATTGAATAAGGAAACAAAAAAATACAAATATATTATTTATTATTTAAAATAATTAATTTTTATAATAATAATGAACTTTAAAAGAATATGCTATTTAAATTTTTAATTTAATTATTTTATTTGATTCTTATTATAATTAACGTTTTTTTATTTTCATTTTTATATATATAAAAACAGTTAAAATTTAATTAGAAAATTATATATTTTATTTATAAAAAAAAAATTCTTTTAACATTCACATAAAAAATATTATATTTATAAATTTTTAAAATGCTTAATCTCATATTTCATCCAAACATTTTTTCAAAAAATCCTTTTTTAACTTTTTTCCCATTTTTTATATCTTTAATTGCACTTACATTTCTAATTCCTTTAAAGTTATTATAATTATTCAATTAAGCACCTCTATAAGTTATAGGGACTGTTCTTTAAAAAGAATTACTAACAACTCTTTATTGTACACCTTTAACTTAATATTAATTAATAACTTAAGAACGTTTTTAAACAACCTACTAAGCAGGTTATACATAATATTAAACAGCTTTTATTACATCTTAGACTGGCTTTTATATAATTTAGGCTTATTATTATGCTAATTAAACTGGTTATTATATTACTTAGGCTGGTTATTAACCTATTTGTATTTTTTATTCTTATTAGACAGGTTGGTGCATAATTTTTTTTTCAACAGCTTAATATTGTACTCTTTCTTAAAATCTTTCTTAAGGAATATATTCAATAAACTTATCTTAATAAACATTCGGAATATAATCAGTCTAATACTCGATTGCATAATAATCAGTTACCCTTTTTTATTTTGGAACAAGTTTAGTTCTTTAAATAGCTTAATATTCTAAAACAGATTTTTCATAAGGAACATACTCTACCCTTGATTCGCCTTTAATTGTTTATCTCTTCAAATTTTTTTAAACAGGCATTTATTAATATTATTATCTTAATTATTATTAAACTGTTACTATTGTAGGTTAAGAACTATGAAATACTTTCTAGGTATTGCATGCTATATTTTGGCTTAAGAATAGCTTTAATTAATATATTAAGCTTAAGGGAAAAAGGCTGATTATTAAACAGGGTGAGAATCGGAAGATTAATTATTTATTACAAGCAAAGGTTGATTTTAGAAATTAGAAGGAAGGTTTTAGTAATTAGAAGGAGTGCTTTAGTAATTAGAAAGAGGGTTTTAGTAATTAGAAGGAGGAATTTCTTAATTAGAAGGAGAATATTATTAGGAAGGACTGGAATATTATTCTTTATTATGTATTTGGCTCATTTGTGTTTTTTTTTTAATTGATTTTTTTTAAAAGTTTTTTAAAGTTAATTTTTTTTTTAGTTAAGTTATATTTTGAATTAAATATTAATTAATTTTTTTTATTCAATAAAAACATAAATTTAATTAAGATTTAATATATTTTTTAATTATAGATAATGTTATTTAAATGTATTATTACATTTATTTTGAAAACGTTGAAAATTTATTTATAGTAAGAATATTTTCACAAAAATTGCACAGATTAAGACAAAGATACAATTGAGTAAAATATATTTAACACAATAAACTAGAATACAAATTCTCAAATTTAAATATATATATATTTATATATATATATATATATATATATATATTAAACAAAATAATTATATAATTGTTAATTTTTAGTTACAAAAAAAAAATAACACATTATAAATAACATATAATTAATAAATTAAATCATATTCTTTTAGTCTTAGCATATAAAAAAACTCCAACTGCCACCAATCCTCCAATAAGAACAGTTTTTGAAAAATAATTAAATTTTTATTCTTATAATATTTTTAACTATTTTATAAAAAATTATTATGAATGTTATTAATGTTAAAAATGTTATTATTGTTATTGTTATTATTATAATTATTATTATTTTACTATTATTATTATTATTATTATTATTATTATTCTTAGTTTAAAATTTTTTATGCATTTTAATTTAATTTTATTATTTATTTGTTTTCTCCTGATTTTTCTTAGTTTTTTATTTAACATTTAATATCATTTACTTTTTATTGCTTACTTATATTATCTTTTTATTTTTCTTATTTATCTATAATATTATTATTAATATTTTATTAGTAATCTAAAATTTCATTTTTTTAATAAATATTGTTATCATTAGATAAAAAATTATCTTCATGTTATGTTATTCCATTAAATTTAAATTCATGGTAAGTTTTTGTTTATTTTTTATTTCTTTCTTTTTTTTCAGATTAAGGTGACAAAATTTGAATAATTTGAGTTAAAGTGAAATTATTTTTTTCTTTTTTTTTCTTCTTTTAACATATTATTTGTATATTCTAATTCTTCATTTTCTTTTTTTAATTATTTATTTAAATTTTCTACCAATTCAAACGTCTATTCAAATTCTTTTTCTTCTTTCTGCAAACAAATTTATATTTCTTTATTATTTTTTTCGTTATTTTATAATTACTAATATTTCTTTAACAAATTATTCAACTTTTCTTACTAAAATTCAATCTCTGATTCCAATTAATTAATTTTTTATTAATTTTATTCCATTTAAAAAGTAAAACTTTCGTTGTTTTCTTCCACAATCATTGTTTTTTATACTGAATTTGAGTGATTTGCACTTTTAGCTTCTAGCGTTTCCTTTATTTATTACATTTTTTATATTTTCATATTCAATATTTAGATTTTCTATATATTAGCCTATTTTTCTTTTTCTGTTTTGTCTATTTATTCTTTTAATATGGAATTATTTTATTTAAATTCACTTAATAATTAAACTAAATCCTCGTTTTGTAATTTTTTTTATTCTAGTCTTTTGCGCATTTATTGTAAATTGTTTTATCTTTCTTCGTTTTCTTTTTCGTTTTGGAATTGTGTTCTGTGTAATATTTAAATCTAATCCTCTATTTGTTGGACTGAATTCAATATTTATTGGTGAATTTAAAATTATGTTTATATCATGTTTTTTATGTTTTTAATGAAATAAAATTTATTTGTAAATGAAGAAATTTATTATTTATGAATATTTATATATCTATATTTTTAATTATTATTTTTTAAAAAAAATTGTATTTTTTTTAAAAAAGAATTATACTTTAATTTTAATATTTTTTTTATATTTAAAAAACGTAAAAATAATACACATACTTACAATAATAAATATTGAATTAGAAATTTATTATTTTTTAATATCTTAATTATTTTACATTTTTAAACAAATATCTTTTTTATTTCAACTTTTTTTTTAAAAAAAAAATTTAAAATAAATAAATTTTTATATATTTATTTACATATTAAATTAATTTTTAATCTTATATTAATTTTAGTTTTAAATTTAATTTTTTTTATTATATAAAACATAATCTCCTTAATAAGCTATATATGTTTTCTTGTTTTTTTCTAAATTAAATATTTAATTATTTTTATCAAATAAAATTTTTTACTTAAATATTAATTTGAAATATTTGTTTTTAATCCTTATCCATACAATTTTTTAAAATTATAATTATTTTTTTGTGTTTAAAAATTTATATTTTCAGTTAAAGAAATAGGATTTTTTATAGGAGGAAACATAAACTTTATATGTATATTAATTTAATATTATTTAAAAATAAAATTAACTTTTGAATTTTCATCTTAATATGGATAATCTTAAAGTTAATTTGTGTTTTTATAAAAGCTATCAGCTTTTTTTTATTATAAAAATTATAATAAAAAAAAATATGTTTAATAAAAATACTGTTTTTTTTATTATAGTTAGAAATAGTTTATTTTTTTAATAATTAATAATTTTAAAGAACGCTTAATTATTTATTAACACTAACAATTTATTTTATATTCTCAATTGTACTTTTAGCAATTTAATCATTATTATCTTTTAATAATCTTTTTATTTAAAAGATTACAATTAAATCTGTATAAATTAAAAATTTGTATTACTTATCTTTGTTTTCGGTATTATTATTATTTTTTAAATTTAAAATTTTCTAATTCATAATAGTACTATATATAGGTTAAGGTTATTATTAATCAATCAAAAAAAAATCTTTAAAATATTCATGTTTTAAGGCCTTTAAATAAAAAAATATGAATAAATAGAAATATTTTAAAAATATATAAATAAAACCTAACTAGCAGTAATTCTCTCTTCAGGGTCATAAATAAGCATTTATTTAATTAAATCAATACATTCTTTTTATATATTAGGTAATAATTTATCAATACCAGTTCCTTATTAATAAGGAAAATTAAAATCCATATGAGTAGCTTTTTTTTAAAATCTATCAAGAACTTTTTAATTAGGAGATCCTAAAATCTATATATTAATTTTATATTAATTATTTATTTTTAAATACATTATGTATTCTATGAACTTGGTCTAATTCATTTTTTCCTGGGAATAAAGGAAAAAGTCCTATTATTTCAAACATAACACATCCAACGCCCCAAACATCAGTCTAAAATAATGTATATATAATAAATTTAGAAATTAAAAATCTACCTTATAATCATAATATCCATCTGTTAATAAACATTCAGGAGCTCTATACCAACGAGTAGATATATACTCAGTATAAGGATGCTCAGCATACATACCTTTACAACTTCCAAAATCAGCCAATTTAATATGATCACCTAAAAGTAGTATGTTTTCACTTTTTTTAATTAAGCTTATTTTTATTTTATTTTAATATACGGTTTTATGTCTCTATGAAAAATACCATTTTAATGCATAAAATCAATAGCCTTAAGCAATTAATACATATATTATTTAATTTTTTATTGGTTTAAATAATTTTATCTTCCTTTCATTTTATAAAAAAAAAATTAAAGTTGTTACAAAATAAAAAAATTATTTATTGCTTTATTTTAAAAAAACCTTTTATATGTTCATATAAATTACAATCCATTAATTCAAAAACTAAAGCTAATCTTCCTGTAGATTAATCACTTTTATTTTTAAAATAAATGAAAATATATAATTAATAATTTTATTTTAGTTTTTTTATATTACTATAAAATTTCTAATAATTTAATGATATTTTCATGACCTTAAAGCTTTTTTAAAGCTTTTATTTCTCTTAACTTGTTAACCTTTTATATATTCGTTTTAAATAATTAATTATTAATTTGATAGTTTAAAAAAAATTAATTATTACTTATTCTATATTTTAATAGTTGTTTTTCATACATTTTATAGCAACGTTTCTACCTGTTTTTAAAGATTCTGCTTTTAAAACTTCAGAAAACGTTCCTTCACCTTTTTTACTTATTAGCTTATATTCTATTAAATTTTATTTTTCAAAAAAAAATTGTTTTGAAAAAATAAAAGGAATAATAAATTTTATTACGATTCATAATAATAATTTTAACTGTATTTATTTAACAAAAAAATAAAATAATTATATTTATTTTTATTTTTAATTTATTTTATTTTTAATATATTTAAAAATAATATAAAATTTATTTTTATTATTAAAATTGTTTATAATTATATTTGTTTTATTTTAATTAAAAATAAAATAAAATTATAAAAAATAGAAAATAAAAGCAAAAAAATAGGAGTTTGGAAATTATTTTAATACTTCATTATAAAATGATATTTATTTCAAAAAAATAGAAAATAATATTTATTTTAGTATTATTTCTCATATTTTATTTTCAATTTCTTAACAAAATCTCGTAGGAAAAAAATAATAGATGATGCCTTTGATTTTTTTGGTTGAATTTAGAAAAAATAAATATAGAAAAATATGAAAACTATACAACAAAAAGTATATTTAAAAGAGTTTTTCCTTGAATAATAGGTTTAAAAACATTTTTTATTAATAAATTTTTAATTTTTTGAAGAACATTTGTAATTTATTTCATTTTTCTGTTAGTTTAAATATAGATAAATATTTAATTTTTAGCTTTATTGAAGTATATATTTTTAAGTTTTTATTTTATTATTTATTACTATAAACTTTAAATAAGATATTTCATTATAAAATTAATAAAAAAATAATAAATATAATTTATTGATATATTAAACAAACAAAAAATTATATTCAATTGAATTAATTATTAGTATTATTTTGATATTTACAACTCTTTATTAGAACATAAAATAATAACATAAAAAAGCAATTAGATAAAAATTATTGGTTTTTACAGAAGTAGTTTTTATTTTAATTTATAAAAAATATTATTTTTATTTTTTTAAAGATGAAAATAAAAATTAAATTACAATTTTATGTTTACTATATTTAACTTATATATTTTTAAATAGATATAGTATATTTTTCTATTATTAAAGTCTATTAAAGGAAAAAAATAAATTTAAAATCAAACTAATTATCTTAAAATATAAATAAAAATTAACAAAATAGTCTATATTATAATAAAATGATTGTTAAAAATTTAATAATATATTTTTTTATAAAATATATATAATATTATTATGCAATTAAATTTAATATAATTAAACATATCTAAAATTTAAAAAAAATTATTTAATTATTAAAAAAATTTAGATTTTATAAATTCTAATATATCTATAAATATATGTGATATTTAAATAAATTAAAATAATTAAAATTTAAATACGTTCATATATAAATAAGATATTAAGATATAATTACATATAAATATATTTTATATGTTTTAAAATAAAGCATAATATTGAAAATTATGTAAAGATCTATATAAAAAAAATCGTGAATTAATTAATAATAAATAAAAATGAATTTATATAAAAAATAAAAAAAAAATTTAAATTTTATAATTATAAAATCAATAATAAAATAAAAAAGACAATCATATATATATAATTGAAGGAATAAAAAATATATATATAAAAATATATTTAATAATAAAATATTATATATATATATATATATATTATTTTTTTTTACTATTTTTATTATTTTTTTTATTTTATAGTATTATTTTTACTTTAAATTTAAAATTTATTATTTATTAAAATATTTAGAAATACATAATAATA